TATTGTTTAATGCAGCCTAAAATTAAAGCTTATTCCTAGCTGGCCCATGGGCACCACTGCAGTAACCCTGATTAACAAAAGCAATATCTAACTGCCCTTCTGTGCCAGGACTGGCCTGCATGCTGCAAGGTATTTGTAGTCAAAAGGAGGCAAATACAGGATTTTATTTAATACAGCATTTCCTTCAGGGTCTTATTTTTATCCTGTTACTTGCGCATGGATTTATGAATCTTTACGGTTCACTAAAGTATCTGGGAAGACACCTTGTGATGGCTGAGAGTGTGCTATGCACAGCAATCTTCAGAAATCAGTGTCCATTAATTCTCCAGTTCTCCTTTACACACCCATCTTATTCTATGTCTTTCCCTCTAAGATACCTGAAAGCAACTTAAATGGCATCCCAGTACATGGGATACCATCTTCATTAGAAAAGGGAGGCAGAGTTTCTAAGGGAGTTGCCCGAAGTGCCTGCAGTAAGTGACAACGCGAGGCACCTCCCCACTGCAATCTTAGCCCCTTTATACTCAGCAAAACCTTTGGCAGAGCTCCCAAAGTGACTGGATTTCCACCCAAGACATCCCAACCCCCAGTGTTTAGCTTTGTTAGGCATCACTACCTCATCATGACATACTGAGGAGACAGGAGAAGACAAAAGGGCTGGGCAGAGCTGGCTCCATGGGCCAAAGCAGTACAAGCTCAAACCTGAAAGGCATTCATTGCGGATTTCTAAATCTTAGTAATGTTTTCACTCACCAAGAAATTGCTGCAAGTGACTTCAGAGCCCACACCTCGCTCAGAGCCAGTGGGATGCAGCAATCAAACCAGTCAGTAAGAGGCTGCACACCTCTGAGCCACAAAAATTTCCTCACAGATCTGTCATTCACTCCCTGGGAATAAAATCAAGCTCTAACTGCATTTTGATTGATTGGCTTACTTGGTCTAATTTTTAAGAATAAGCGCTCATTTATTTAATCTGCTTAATCCACATGCTGGAAGCGTTCTGCTGTTTTCTCTTCCATCCCTGCCCCAGCAGATGTGTATTTATTCTTCCCCACTGGACCAGAAAGGAGCATGCTGTACCTCACTGACCAGCCTGCTGATGCAATGCAGAGCGGCGTGCCAAAAACATCCCTCCCTGCGCTGGAACCCGCGCTTTGCTCCTGCTGGGCAGGGCTGCTCCTTCAGTGCCAGGAGGGTCTCCTGTAGAAGACCCTACGTAGAAGATCCCTACTGGGAAGGATCAGAGACGGGATTCAGCTGGAGATGTGGCTTTCCACGGTCCTGCTGTTTCCAAGGGATGAAGCTGAAATTTTTGTTCATCACTACATTTTTGGAAGACCCCATTCTGAGACATCCAAATGCACGCCGTAGCACAGAAGCTAAGCAGCATCACTCTCTTCTCAAGACCTTAACCAGCAGCCCCCTGCCTACAAGCCAAAGTGCCTACACCATCCAGACTGGGGAGGGCTGGAGGGCTCTTGTAGCATCACTTCCAAAACTGCATTTAAGGCAAAGCTGACTGCCATATTGAGAACAAGCACTGGAGTAACGGGCTGGCATGCGTGTAAAAATAAACTTTCTTCTGCCTATACTAGAGAGCCAACTCTCCAACATCTCAAGAAACCTGCTTGCTTTGGAAGCTTTCCAGTCACATCTTTCTGTCCATGCTGTTGAATATATGTTTTATAAGCTCCCTTCTCCCAGCTAGAACACCGCTGTTCCAGGCTTATTCCATTAATACTGCGTATGAAAATAAACCTCCCGCATTTCTAGAAAACAACCGTTCCCTGGCAACAATTAGTGGAAACTGTTGTCTTTGGTATTCCACTTTGATTGAAGATTTAAGAAAGGGGGAGAGGACCCTTAATTCTCCTTCACTGTCTTCAGTAAAACCCAGAGCTCAAGGGACAGTTTTCTTCTTAGAAGTAAAAGATTTCAAATATCTCAATTCCCAGAGACCTGAGGGAAAAAAAAAAGGAAACCAAAAAAGCAGCCTAGACCATTGTAACTACTACAATCAGCTGTTCCACACTGAAAAACATGTTGTCCTCCATATCCCATTGCTATTAAAAAATGTGCAGCTTGAAATACAATGACTAATCCCACTTTTATAGCCAACTGACTAGAAAGAACATCTCTCTAAGATAAAAGAGAGCATTAGTGCTCATTAGAACCAAAAATATCCATGGAAAATAGGAAATCTTAACTATTTTAATATTAAAAAAAAGAAGTGTGCTAGAGCTCTAGGAAAATTTGGGTGTGGAAATGCCTGAAAGGCCTTTGAAGTCGCGAGAAGTACGAAGGCTCCAAACTTTGTCACACAAAGACTGAACTGGCAATTTGTCAGAAGCCAAAGGGCTGCAGCTAATTATCCTGGATTTGCATAGCTTGTGAAACAAAAATAAATGCATGTCCCCATCAGAGGTACTTGTGATGATTTCCACTTCACTGCACATGTTTTCAATCTTAACCTCTCCAAACTAAGCCAAACAGATATTTTTTTTTCCTGAAAAACAAGGTATATGGAGATGTTCTTTCCTTTCCTTGCCAGTGGACAAAGTCATAAGAAACAGGACGCTTTACTGGCTGAAGAAGAACTGACAATTTGCAATTCTGAATTTGCCCCCACGTTAATTTGGAGGGCTGAAACTGAACAAAGCCAAGCTTTTTTAACAAAAGTTCAAAACCAGCTTTATGGTTTAGAAATGATGCAAATCCCATCTTTGCTAAATTCCGTCAATAGAAAATAGAATTTATTTATTTCTCTTAATGCCTCATTAGACAATCACTGCATAACTTTAGAAGTAGCCTCTCCCTTGAAATGGTGAGGGTAGAAACTATTAAGAAATGTTTCTGTTGAAGCACTTACTGACCCACTGCCTGTGCGGTGGCCACAGCAGATGTGCTTGGGGCACAAGTCACTGTGCAGCACATCCCCACCCTGGGCCACCAGCTCAAGCCACTCCAGCTGAGCAGGCGGCTGCAAGGGGCTGGAGGAGTCAGCAAGAAAACCGAGGGGATGACAGGGAACATCTGAGGTTCTGAGAGCCCTCACACCTCCCCAGGGATCTGTGGCTGTTCCCTGTGCTGTGCCAGCACGGTGCCCAGAACACCACTGGGGCTGGTACGGCAACAGCTCTGCTGCAGAGCCTGGACACGTCCCAGTACATCGTGCTACCTGGAAGCCAGTAACTTAACCTTAGCTCTCAACTCACTACTTCTAACTGGAAAGCATGCCTGCAGCCAGAAAAAAAAAAGGTTGAATTTATGTGAAGAGGAAAACAGAAAAACAGTCTGTGTACTTGTGTTTTGAGTTGCTTGTCTTTTGCTGGGCGTAAGAGCTGGCTTCGCTCAAGACAGCTCACAACAGAGTAAGTTCCTTAAAGGAGAAGGGGAAACAAATGAAAAACTCCACTGCTCAACACAGGTAAACAACTTTCCCTCTATTAAGTAAACTTTGTCCAGCAGATTGACACCAAGACATCTCCCAGTCAGAAGCAGGGCTAGCGGAACGGATGCACGAGGTGACACAAGCAAAGCTTTCTAGTAACGCTGGATGGGAAAAGAGCACGCTTCTGAGACACCCCTCGCGCACTACAAGTACGCGCATCAGGACACATTAAGCAATGCATGTGCTGGGCAAGTCATGATTGCACGTCGCCATTCACCCTGTTCTAGCAGAGCAGCAGGCATCAGTGTTCCAGGTGTGCCTCTGGGGCACAAATTCCCAGTACAGGTTAGTCTGGCATCTCAGCTATGCTGGGAAATTTGAAACCATGAAGCATTTCTACACAAGTCCTGTCTAGTTCTGTCCCCGTGTTTTGCAAAATGCTCTTCCAATAACGAAATGACTAGCCACTAAGCTACACAAACATCCGCAAAACAAAGCATTCGTGCATCCTACATACGTTGATATAGCGAAGACTAACTGAAGCAACATGTTGAAGGACAGCAACTTCAGCCCAATAGATAAAATGGAATTTGTTCTCTGCTCAGCTAATCAGAGTATCATTGAATTCATCTCATACAGCCACCTTGCTGCTTATGTGTATGCAGCAGGCACTAGGCACGTAAAACAAATGCAGACAGTGGATTGGAAAGCACTGGGCTATTATCGAAGTAATAGCGTGTCACAGAATGACAGAAATACAGGCTAGCTTCCTCCCCATGCTGCTTGTGAAGCTGTGCTTTACACATGCTGGTTGTATTTATCAGCCTGGGGAGGCTGTATCAGAACTCATAAAAGAAGCTGCTCCTTAGCTCTGAGCAATAGGAGGTACAAGTAAGGAAGATGATGCTGTAGCAGTGAAAGGCTGCTGGAAATATGGTTAAATCCAGCCAGTAAAGTATGTGCCTTCCTTCCTTGTAATACCACACAGCTCTCAAATAACCACACACCGGGTAAGCACCAGGAAGAGTGAAATCAATGATATGCTGCTCTTCTAAGCAGACAAAATAGGCCAGGAGGAAAGAGCATTTCTCCCCCTTTGATCTTGCAGGGCTACAGTTCTCTGAGGTATTATTCACAGCAACACAGCTGTCAAGGTAACATAACTCCTTTTACAAGTTGGCATCATCACTTAAGTGCCATCTCATGTGAATACAGCCATTCAGAACTGGGAAACACAAAACAGCCAACGCCTGAATTTCACAGTAGATAGTCTAAACCCCCACAGCAGTCCAGTGCCATTTCTCTGTGCCCTGGTTTGCAAGAACTTGCCTTCTGCCACTGTTTTGTTTCAAAGAACAGCTCCTACTCCTGACAGGCCTGACCACCCTCAAGAGCAGCAAGCACAGACTAACATCACCTCATCAACCACCAAATCTTACTCATGAACAAATGTGGGAAAAAACAACTTCATCTCCACTTTGGATACCTGTTTGCTTACGACTAGCTAAGATCAACACATGCCACATATGGGGATCCACTGTTTCCAAAAACAGTATTCATAGCACAGAAGTGAATGGAAAAAAAATAACCGAATATAGTTTTTACTCACCTGTACTACTTCTACTCCTCTTTTCCTAAAAAAGAAAAGAAAAAAAGGAATTGTTATTATTGGAAGCATGAGAAATATGTAAAACAAACACTAATGGAAAAGCATTACTTCACTCTAGAACACACACAATAAAAATCTGCATGTTGGTACCCAATTCAGATTCAGGCAAGCACTTCCCTGGTTCCATTCCCTGCCTAGGAAGCACCTCAGCAGCTTCTGAACCGTGGCCTTGGAGAGATGCAGGAGACATACTAAGCTGCTGCCCTGCTGGGAACGCTGCAGCTGCCCCGAGAGCAGAGGTGGGCACTGGGTGCTGTGAGGGAGGGAGCACCTCGATTTTGGTCATATATCGAAACGCTGAGGGCTGCAATTGGTAGAGCCAGCCCAGGCAGATCTGTAGATGTGGCTCATCTACTCTGCCAGCATAAGAATTGAGATTCAGGTGCACGCAGCCCGGCAGTGCTCAGTCACTGCATTTGACACGTTATCAAGGAAAACAAGCCACTTCTGCTTCAGTCTGAAGAGTAGAACTGAATCCCTGGCACAGAGCCCAGCCGTTCCTACACCAGACCACTTTCCCACTATATGCAGGCTATTTAAATATATTATAACCTTCTTCTCACTTTGAAGATGTAGGGAATTTAATTTAAGAATGAAAAGCCTCAGCGAGGACATGACTGGAATCTCTTCCTCGTTCCCACTAATCCCATATGTGAAAGTCAAAGACCCTTTTGGGGCAGGCCACAGAGCAGTGCTGCCCGCCTCTGTCTGCAGCACCCGTCTATCTAAGGGCGCCTGTGTTGTCGTCCCCAGTCACAAGTGCTGCACACTGCTGAATACACAATGGTTCCTCCAGTTTTCTGTCCAATACAGTAAGTCTTTCTTTTGGAAAGCCATTACAAAGCTGCCCAAAGGGACAGGCAATCCATCAGCATCCACGACACAAATTGCGCCCTTCTTACACTTCACAAGCCCGGAGTTTCTCTGGCCGAGAAGCAGCATGCGTGCACTGCACAACCACAACAGAGCTCATCCTTCCTCAGCAAGGAAATTAGAAAGAAAATGAAACCAAGCACCTCTTACAGAGTATTTCAAAGCCCTCTTACAGATAACGGCAGCCCACAAACGGTGGGCGATTGATACGTTGCCATTACAGCGTGGGAAGCGCTGCTGCAGAACATCACCTGAGGCTAGCCATATGCACTCCAACTGTGCTTTGGGAAGAAAAAAGAGGACTCTTGCAGAGAAAGAGTTAATAGCCAAATTGTTGAAACAATGACTTTCACACAGCTAAGCAAGATAAACAAGAAATATGAGGTAGGAAGTGCTTTTTTTGTAGATCAGTGCAGCAGCCCACTCAGAAGCATTCCAAGTAGTAGAAGCTAAGACTTAAAATAACAAAACGAGCTACATTTTTGCTGTGTCTGCCCTGGAGTAAACAGAACAACTCCAAACTCCCATTAAAATACAGCAGGCTTCAGAAAGGGCTGCTCCAGAGCTCCTTGAAGGATAGAGGTTGATGGGAAAGGCTGCATTTTTTGCCATGCATGCATACACACTGAGTAAGCTTTGTCCTACTTTGAAGAAAAATACTTGCAAGCTGGCTGCCAGAGCCACTTCAGAAAGAATTGGTCTAAAGGTTTTCAACAATGCCCTCAAAATGGACTTTGAAAATTTACTGGATTTACTGGAGAGGCACTGGGTGCTGGGTATGCCACCACACACACTTAAACAGGTATGGGAAGGAGACGGCGATTAGCGAGGTTGGCTCGCAGCGCTGGGTCTTCCTCTTTCTCACGAGTGGGATTTCCCCTTTGATTATCTGAAACATTAGAACTTTTAATACTTAAACCCAGGAGACAAGAAACCATAGAAGCATACATATTTTGAGGATTAGTTAATTTGGGAAAAGTCCTCTACCAAAATAGCTTTTTTTTTTTTTGTATTACACAACACGTGCTGAGCACACAGCACTACGTAATCACACCAACTGCCCCACATTCCAGGCAAAAAGGATTGGGGCCTGGCACAGAAAGCAAGCTGGTCCAGCACACAAACTCCAGGACCCCTAAAATTCACAGGCAGAAGGAAGCAGGCTGCAGGCCACAGGTGACAGACAGGCCTACGAGGGGCTGTCCATGAGGGACACGCTGTGGTGCTGAGGTGATTGCCAAGTTAACTGCTGGGGGAGGCTGCAGCGAGGGGCACAGGAATGTGCCCAAGGCAGGCACAAGGCCTGACCGAAAGGTGCTGTCCCCCGGCACCGTGACCACTCCTAGTCCCTGCTCTGTCCATGAGCCTTCCTTCCCTCCCTCCACATAGCCTGACACCCAGGTGGTGGCAACCCACAGCAGGCCCGTTTTTCTGAGGAGCCTCAGAAAGACAGATCCTCGCTTGCCATATTTCCCTCCTCCCTCCAAAGAGGCAGCAAAACTGTGTCAAAGCGAGACTGTCTGCCTGCGTTCCTTGAGCAGATGTTTGAAAACCGGTCAGTTCTCCATGAGGCTCCCAGAGGTCACTGTTTTGAAGAGGCACTGCGTTGCAAAGAACATCTAGACAGGAATCCTACACTGCAGTCATCAGCCCAAGGAAAAGAAAAATACTTAAGCAAATGTCAGAGAACCTCTGGGGAAAAAGAGAAGGGAAAAAGTGGTTGAAAGTGGTAAAACCAAACACTTAATTTACAGCAAAACATTGATGCCTTCAACTGGCACAGTACACCTGAGCCTATGGAGACCTACCCAGGGCAGCACAAGTTTCTGACTAGTGCTTCCAGCGTACACTTACTTCAGGGCAAAGCTCTCATTTAATCATACACTACAGCATTTAAAGATAAAACAGACATATAAGTTGCCTACAACACTGAATAAAACCCAGAAGCTTGTTACGATTGATTAGTTGTATACCTGAAGCCAATGCACAGCCCTATGGGGTAATGCGAGCCTCACCACATACAGTGATTAAAATCAATACCACACCAGCTGAAATCACGTTTAAGCTCAGATGACCTATGGATTTAGGAAAGTGTTCGATATCAAGTTACTATGAGCCAATGAACTGTTTTTTATCACAGTCTCAAACTATGCAGAATAGCTTTGGATGTTAAAGCAAGCAAGCAACCAAAGTAAACAGCTTGCACTAATTCCTCGTGGCATGCAGGACCTGAACGTTATAGAGAATGACAGTTACAAAGGGAAAACGATGCTCAGGTCATACATTACAGCCACGGTTCAATTAAGTAGCATATTTTTGCTGTCTAGTCTGAGTGATGGATTGAAAAATACCAAACAATTTACAATTCGAAAAGTAAAAAGCAATCATGATATCTGTTTTAATAGCCTAAGAAGTTATTAATGCATGCAGTGAAGTTCATTTTCTCATATGTGAGAATGTTTCACCTCCAGACACACACATTTAAAAAAACAGCAAATAATAATAATATATTACTCTGACATAAAACATAAAAAGCATTTTTCCAGAAAAGCCATATATTGGCTTCTAAGGGAGCTGCATAAATATTAATGAATCAGAGAAAAAACCTGCAGCCGCCACGGCTTTCCACCACGCCAAAATTATCAGACACAGGAAGACACGATGCAAACAATACCAAAGCAAAGTGTGAAAACCAGCAAACGCCGGCCATCCACAGCCTCGCAGACATCCTGTTCCTCTTCCAGGCACAAAGGCGAGCTCAGATAATCTGCACCAGGTTCTCCACCAGCAGAGTACCCTGCACTTCCCTCAGGGGACATCTGCCAGGATCCTTGCTTTTATCATTTCTCAGGACTGCCCACCAGAGCTGCAAGCAACCAGCAGCCCCAGCTCACACTGTTAACTGAAGTTAACTGAAGGCACCTGAAACGCTAGTAGATACAGCTGGAACAGGGGCAATTTTTATTTATTTTTTGTTCTCAATCTATTAAGCAGGGAATTAATCAGAGGTAGTTTTGCCAACTTAAATCCAACTATTCATACCTTTCAGTAAGCATTTTCTCTTCTTTGGTCAGTATTTTTGAAAGATTTATGACTGAAATGGGTGAGAAGCTGGCATTTGGAGTGGGATGTGTGTGTGTGGGGGGAAATCCTCAGCTTTCTCTCTCCCTGTAAAGCATCACAGATCCAAAGGAGAAGGCAGTAAAGTACAGTCAGGTAGCAACAGATAATGCAGTACAGGAGAGAAGAGGTTTAGAGCTTTAAGTGCTCTTTAAATAGGCTGAAGAAATTAGACTTCTGGCTGTCACAGAGGACCTTTTAAGCACAAAAATCACGGAGGGCAGCCACATTTGTGTATTTCATTTCATCCTTGTTTTTATAAATAGGGAACACTCCTTGCAATAGGAGGCCCCGTAGATCAGAGACTACGGCACTGTAAGTGATTCTCACACTGCCATCCCCTTCACACATGACATTTGGTAGAACCATCTGATCTTCTCTACATCTTGAGAGCATTATATTATCCCATTTACAGCTATAGAAGTGCTCCTTTGAGGGCTGCAACAGAACACAGGGCCAGCAAATGGACCAGAAAATCAAAGAGCGTTTTGGTAGGGCAGGCAGCAGCATCACTCTCGTGTTTACCTGAGGCACCACAATGCTTCCACACACCTCAGCTTCCCACCACGACACAGGCAGACATTCAGCGGCACCTCAAAGCAAAGAGCCAGCTAGAAGCCCACTAACCCATTATGTTGCCAGACCAAAGACAAACTGAAGCATCCAACATCAAGACTTCAGAGGTTTAAGCTGCAGGGAGGAGGAAGCCGCAAAAGAAACCAGACACTTCAAACGGTAGGCAGAGGAAATAGTACTCAGTGACTACGGGCAATTTAAGACTAAGCTTCAGTAACGGGTTAAGGAAACAGAACAGGGTTACTACTTTCAGCATTAAAGAACAGGCATTGCAGGAATAAAATCTCTAAGTACCAAAGTCATAAAAGCCATCAAGTCATTAACTACAAACTTGAAAGGATCTGTTTTCTTCTGTTTAAACTGGACATTTGAGACACATCAGCGGTGCTGACCTCT